TTGTGCTTACGAAGAATTATGAAGCCTATGGATATGAAGAATTTCACGTAGCTGTGTGAAATTATCGTCGCATTAGCAGCAAGTGCCAAAACCTGCATTTCGCCTCGTTTTTCGGCCATAACTTCTTTACTATTGAACGGATCTTTTTCGTGAGGTCTCGTTTTGTAGGTCTCATAAATACCTAAAAATCTTATCTAAAGAGTTTTTTCATTCCCGCTAACACTTTCGATTGAATCCCAAAAAACACGTTTTCTCATTCTTTGTCGTCTAATAAAAAATTTTCCCACAAAAATTGGTGTACCCATCTTATGTGTCCATGTTTAAAATACCCCCTTGAACAACTTGCATACATACAATTATTTCGCAAACAAGGGGTATTTTCGTCTAATATGATTAGACTAGAATCCAAGCTGTCTGAATTGATAATCGATTCCTACTGCAGTGTCGTTACTTTATAGCGCTTACTAACACCGATGGCATGTTTTGGAATTTCAGAAATCGGAACTGAAAGGAATCGGAATCATAAAGAATCGTGTATGAATCGAAGGAATCTGTTTCCAGACCGAAATAGAAACCATGGAATCGAATCACTAACGGGACTATTTGGCCCAGCTGTGCTCCTCTACTCCGCGACGTGTTTCCGTGTAGGTCACGTTTAAACATATTATTGCCTGACCTGCTGGCAACAGTCCCATTTGCAACCTTAGATCGTTTCTTTCTGTATCTAGATAAAACACGTACTTGGCAGCCGGACCTAAAATAAAATCTGGCACGTGACAGAAATGTCCTAGAGATGTTACTGAAGTTCATAAGTGTTACGTTGGAATCCACTCTAAAATGTTTGCTCAATGACATGCCTATATATTCCAGAATGTTTTGGTACCAAATAACTGAGGTCGTACAAATCCCCCCTGCATCGTAAAATAATGCACTTAGGTACTTAGTGCTTTGAATACTGACTAGGCCTTATTATTTATTTCTCTTCTTATGAACCAGTGCTCATCTTGATGTCGAAACCCACAACTCCTATTCTGCTCTGGCGCATCCTCTATTTGCGCCATATATCTGTGTGCTAGATTTTGCAGAACCGCTAAAGCGACTATTGGACATACTCTAAATTTCACTGTGAGTAATTTTTTAAGTTTACTGAACCTCATCAATTGGTGCACTTCAAAAATGTCCAAAAACGAAAACTAATTCAATAATGTACAATAAAGGACAATCGTGGGCATTTCCGCCATAAAGGAACAGGAGCAGTATTAGAAGGATTTGTAACCCGAGCGACGTACGTTTCTGCCTGTTGCCATCAAGTAGGCCCACGATTGTCCTTTGACTTTCATCTAAGTTTTCTTATCTTTCTATGTATTTACTCATGGGCTTGAAGTGCCACGGCAGGTAGCTGTACCGGGCCTCAGCTCCGTAGCAATGTTGGTTGATATCTCGTAAACACGAGGTCTTCTGACCGAAGCCATAAATGCGCCAGCTGCCACCTTGTTGGTGGCTTATAGATGTATTTTCCTATCCATCCTTGTTTTCCTTCAGGTTCACTCGTATCGAGATGTGGTGGGCATACGTTTTCACTTCACACTGATGGAGCCAATAAGCAGAAACTTACGTTGCTAGGGTTACCAATCCCAATTTATTGCGGTCATGCCCACGATTGTCTTTTGTTTTTCATTTAAGTTTCCGCAAGACTACTTGCCTTTCTTTGTTTAATGTACAATGTATGATCAAAACATAATAACAACACTTGATAACGCAAAAAACATTCTACTGGAATATAATACTGGAAAAATGCTGACTACTAACCATATTGTTGATATGTGTTTCGTTGAAAAACTTGCTTTGAAACTTGAAATCGAAGAACTCTTTCACGTAGGCGAACAGGCAATATGCCTTTATATTTCGCGTACTCTTTGAACTGGCGAAACAAGTGCTTATTATTGTTCCTTGCGCACCCGAATTTGTTTCACACTTGTAAGATTTAAGCTACAAATAATAGAAAATATAGAATTTTTAAAGGCATTATTACACAAAAGGTTTCTTTCTAGTTAGCTAGCCTCAATATTATATTCGATAAACTAATTTCATAAATATTTTTTCGGTAAAAAGCCCGTCATTCAAAAAATACAAATGCCTTGTTTGTCATATTATGATAACATTCTTGGTTTCGCGAAACTGTGTATTTTTTATTATGAAGTATCATTCCGGGTGTCATTTTACCATATAAATACATGTGCACGATAAATCCAATGCAAAGGCAAAACGTTGAAAGGCCAGCATCCGGCACTCTCTTTTTTGGAAGCGCTCCACTACTAACATGCAGCAAAATCAAAGTGATGTCGAAGTATCTGAAAAAAAAGTATAACAAAATAGTAATTGAATTTTTGCGCCATCTAATATACATTGTTTTTCAAAAATATGCCCCCTACCTTTACTTTTTGAACGGGTCAAGGAAGAAAGCTGGAATTTGGGATAGTGAAACTGATGCAGGATACTGTACTCAAGCATGAAAGTGGCAGTTAAACATTTCAAGATGGCGGTCACGCGATACCTCATTTCGAAACTCCTTATTAGTACTATATAGCCTTAGAGTATACATTTATCTTTCAAAATAGCGCACTGACATGCTGCCTAAGTTAAACGTTTTTGTACATTGAAGCGCTTATAACTCAACAACCAATCATCAAAACGTGATAGTATCAATCTTCTTCATTTTAAGGGTCTAACTGATAAAATATGGGACACTCTGTTTAAAACATGGCGTTAAGTAGTTTGACTGTACTTCCCACGCAATCATGGACAAATGGACTTTCTGCATGCATCATATTCAATTTTTGTACGCTCTGGCATCATCATTGTTTGCCGGCTATAAGAGTCATTGCATAATAAGACCGTACTGTAGAATGAATATCAGTAACAAAAAGTACTGTGGATTTTGGCAATAAATGGAATCATGATTTTGAATAGGCATGATCTGTATCTGAATCTGAATCAACCTTCTTATGTTTTACTATCTGGTATCAGTTGCTTGAGGAAAAAGTACTAAAAATATATGAGATTCCTCATTCCACAAAATATCTCCATCTTTGCGAAGTCTAATGAACGTCTATCCGTTATTTCATACTTGTATAACTAGAGACCTAATGTTGTCACCCTATCTGGTTATTTGTATTCAATGGTACTACAGTGGTAGTCTCCGGGGCGCATTTTAACACTATGGTATAGGATTCGGCACCAGCCTTAATTTTATTGGTCAATTTCAATTTATTTAACCAATAACAAACTGGGTGTCGAAATCACTACCGGAATGTTAAACAGTGGTGAAAACAGTATCAGAATGTTATCAATAAACTGCTTCTACTAATATATATAAATATAACTTGAGACGTGGTCATTGTCGTCTAGACCAGTTAGGTGAAAAATTAAAGCTTCCGCCTTTTGTTGGGTACTTCGACAAAATTTAAGCAAGGAGGACTCTTTATACTTTTTTATTCTCTCTAGCTTTCAATGGTCTTTGCCATCATCATCAGGAGAGTAGTATGTGAGGATGTTGCTAATTGTTGTTTACGTTAAGGATGAGGGAAACACCCAGTAACATGCCCACCATTTTGTGCAATAATCAAGTGGCTTCACGATGTAATGTTTAACTTTCAATTTCTAAAAAAATTTTTTATCTGTTTTTAACTTGTTCTTGTCATACAGCTGTGTGTATTTTATATAATTTTGACCATTGTACCATTTATCCAGCTTTTACCATGTTACTGGGTGTTTACCTCATCCTTAACGTAAGCAACAATTGGCAACATCCTCACATACTACTTACTCTCCTGATGATGATGGCAAAGACCATTGAAAGCTAGAGAGAATAAAAAAAGTATAAAGAGTCCTCCTTGCTTAAATTTTGTCGAAGTACCCAACAAAAGGCGGAAGCTTTAATTTTTCACGTATATAAATATATATATAAATTTTTCATGTAATTTTTCTTATTGCTAAACCAAATTATTAATTTTAAAATCATTAAATATCGTAATAGGAAACAACGTGCGTTGATTATTATCTTACGTATTTTTAGCGGAAGGTAAGAAAATTTAAATTTAATTTGATAACATTCGGACCCCATGCTCAGCACTGTTTAACATTCGGGTAGTGATTTCGGCACCCGGCTTGTTATTGGTTGAATAAATTGAAATTGACCAATAAAATTAAGGCTGGTGCCGAATCCTATACCATAGTGTTAGGCCGGCCATACACGTAACGGTTTACCTGTACGGTAGGCCTGCACAGGCTACTCTGCAGGTATTCCTGCACAGGCAAAAGAGCACACACACGTTACGGTAAAAAACGGAGGGATTCAGTTCAGTTCGAGATGGCGACCAATCAAGAAGATGACGCGATCGCTTTGATCGGTTTAGTAGTGGCGACTAATTTTTTTAAAAAACAAAGAAAAAAACGCAAAACCTGGTGTAAAGATTGGCTTTTGAAAAGGAATTACTACACCCACACAAAATTACTACAAGAATTAAGTTCCGAACCAATGGATTACCGTAATTATTTGCGGATGAGAGAAGGAAGTCTACCAAAAATTATTGTCAATGGTAACCCCTTTACAATACAAAAGAACAATACAGTTATGAGAGCTGCAATTTCCGCCCATGAAAGATTGACAGCAACCTTACGATTCCTTGCAACTGGCCGGTCATACGAATGTCTCAAGTATTCTACTATAATATCGCCCCAAGCTCTTGGTAAAATAATTCCAGAGACATGTGAAGCTATATATAAAGTGTTGCGAAAGGACTATCCTCAGGTACGTACAATAACAAACAAATATAAATTAAATTATTTTTTTTGCCGTAAAGTTTTTTATTTAATGCCTCCAACAAAAAAATTACATACTATCTGCATCAAACTGCGAGAAATAGGTACCTGCAAAACTTGTCTGGCTCGTACAACCTGCCACTGTTGACTGTGTACCTTGTTGATCATAATTAGAAGATGGCGAGACATAGGGTGTGCACGTGTATGAAGCGGGGCTGCCCATGGGACTGCTCACTGTAGGGTTCGAATACTGAGGATTATTATATGATGGGTGTAATGGCGCATTCAGCATGCCAATTTCCGCGTCAAATAATATATCATTAATTTTTTTCTCAACAATTAGACCCTGACGTTTATCCAGAGATCTGATTCTCATTGCAATACTTTTACCCAAAAGATCATAACGATCTTCCTGTAGCCGAGGCTTCTTGAAATGATCACGTACCGAAACTAAAACATCATTTGACAGCTCCTCACTTCTTCTTTTCTTTGACAGATCAGGTCTTGACCCAGGAAGTCGCCCGCGTTCGTTGGAGTCATTACAGTGTCCATTTTCACTTGAGCTTGCTTGTTTTGGACTAATCTCGTTTTTCTCTGTGGTTAATGTTACTTCATTCACGCAAGATGTTGGGGCTGGTTCCTCGATCATCTCCTGCAACAAATATACATACTCGTATTATTGGACCCAAATGCTCAAAATCGACAACCGATTTTTTTTGTACAACAATACAGCAATAATAGCAAACAAATTTATTAACTTCAGCTTAAATAAGCATATAATGTTATTAAATTTGACAAACTATAATTATAAATTTAGGGAACACAAATATCATAATGTTTTTTTTTTCAGTTTCCTGATTCTGCTGAAAAATGGGAAAGAATTGCAGGAATGTTTCAGGAAAAATGGCATTTTCCACACTGTCTCGGAGCCATGGATGGCAAACATATAGATATAGTTCCCCCAGGTAATAACGGATCGTTCTACTTTAACTATAAAGGCAGACACAGCATGGTACTGCTCGCAATAGTGGATGCTACATATCGGTTCCTCTTAGTGGATTTTGGAACTAATGGCCGAATTTCAGATGGAGGTGTTCTTTCAAATACTACATTTCATGAAAGATTGCTCAGTAATAACCTCAATATTCCAGACCCTAGCAATGTCTCCGATAATTTCAAACAAATTCCCTACGTGTTTGTGGCCGATGATGCCTTTCCCCTAGCAACGAATATTATGAAGCCGTTTCGACAAGCTCAGCTAGACTCAGCTTCTAAAGAGATTTTTAATTACCGACTTTCCAGAGCAAGGCATGTTGTGGAAAATGCGTTTGGAATACTTGCATCCAGATTTCGTATATTCCATACACAAATCAATTTAGAACCAAAAAACATATCAAAAGTAGTGATGGCAACGTGTGTCTTGCATAATTTCTTGATGCAACATCAACCAACCACTTATGTGCATCCAAATAATACATATCAGGAGAATTATGATGGGGAAGTTATATGCACCGGCTTGGATACCTCCGAATCGAACATGATCGCATTGGAACGTCAAAACCAAGGAAATTGGAATTTTACTGCTAAACAGTTCCTACTTTATGCATGAAGGTAAACTTTCTTGGCAGGAAAGTCGCATTCTTAAAAATAAGAAGTGAAAAAATATGTATCATTTAAAAACTATTTAATAAATTCTAGTATTATTATTTAATTGATTACTTACTTTGTCACTTTCATCGTCGTCATCCAAATTTGAAACAGACGAACTAGGCATGTCTTGATCTCCCAAAAAATCGAATAAGTTGTAGTACCACAGTTTCGGTATGTACAAATCGTCTGTTGATGCTCCAGACTTCTTTGACATATCATGTTTCTTCTTCTCTTTACGTACGTTACTTCTCAAATTGTTAATCTTTTTTACTACCGAGTTTCTTGTAGTATCGGGCTCCAACTCCTTTAACTTTATCACCAATTTTTTGTAGGCTGCATTTCTCTTGTCGCGATCATGATATTCCTTGCTTTTTACTCGCCACAAACAAGGTTCAGATTTATATATTTCAATAAACTGTTCTATTACTTCATTACTTTTCCGTCCTGACATATCTTCCATATAATTCCACAAAAAACTTAATAAATAACGCAACGTAAACAGACAACAAACTGAAATAATAAACGTTCAACAACAAACTGAAATAATAACTGCGCAGGCATTCGATAAGCGGCACACACGCTCCGGAAAGCACAACTGCACAGGTCGAAAGAATTGATTTTTCATTCTTCTACGGTCGCCTGTTCAGGTCGCTTCGCCTGTGTACCTTTGCCTGCAGACGCTGACATACACGCTACGGTTTACCTGTACAGGTGACCTGTTCAGGTAAACCTTTCCGGTAAACCGTTACGTGTATGGCCGGCCTTAAAATGCCTGCGGGGCGTCGTTGACCTTCTTCTCAACTGTTCAGGTAAAAATTTGTGGCGTGGTTTTTCACCCGAGAGCGAATAGCGGTTAGTTCACTTTGTACACAAAATATTTCATTTTTAGTCCTGGGGGCAAATACACGGAAAATATGTGCATGAAATATGCCTAATAACGCGTAGAATTACTGCTACTACTAATTTTTACCTTATTTTTCAAAAATGATCATGATCCCCTGAAACCTCGAACGAACGCAGCTTGAGTAATGTTTATTGATTTTCTTTTTCGTTGTTGGCCTTTTTCCCTGCCGCCACTGGTTCGATTTTTAAAAACTACAAAACTCTTTCATCCTTGGCATGGTAATAATCTTGCGTGAAATTTTCTTCAAAATCCGAGCGGTACTCTCCAAGTTTGGACGGGCCAAGGATGTAGATGTCTTGTAACATAAAAAAATATCTCGATTTCGATTATACTAAAAACGCTCAGCTTTGACAACCTGTCAGTCTGTCATTTTGAGCTATTCTGATTGTATATTCCAGTGTTACAAAGTACTCAGTAGTCAAAAACCATACGATCACTATCTACTGTATCAGTCAGTATTTATGATGGTATGTGATATTTATTGACCATGTAGCCTGGACTTCGGTAATTATTGACATATAAAGTTATGGAAGAATCTACTGACATTGACGGAATCATCAGTAAATACTGACCAGTGTAAATTCTGGTCCTGTGACCCCCAAAATCCATTTAAGAAGGTCTTCCAAGATGGGGATGGGGTCGTACCACCATCTCAAAATTTTCGGATGTCACTTTTTCACTGAAAATAGTGTCCATACATCAATTTCATTCCAAATTCAATTCGTCAATATTAAAACAGAAAAACCTAGCATGTTGTGAAAATAGTAGTTACTGTAAATCGTAGTTTGGTGATGCTACACTTGACATAAATACGTATTTAGGGATTGCAGGCTTAACGTGTAAACGACAGTGTAATATGTAATTCTGTAGTAAAAAATCTTGGATGGAGACTTTTTATATAGAAATTAATTTTCCCAAAATACCATTTTCCAGCAGTACCTCGACGTCAAATATCAACACAGAGGAAGTTACGTTGGAGAATAGACCACAGGAGAAATTTTGACCTACACATCAAAGTTGTGATTTCTTAAGTGGAATGCCTCACATTGTATTGCATTTGGATAAACCAATTCAAAAGAAGAAGACTGAAATAACATACTATGGGGTAGCTACTGAGATGTAAGGTGTTTTGTCCAGAAAAACCGTCCACTTTGGCAACCCCTCAACCCGCCATTTTGAAATTTGGAGTGCTGAATTTTGTATAAAAAAAACTTACGCACCTCAACTTTTATCTTATTTGTTATTTTTTCGAATTTCCATTTTTGCTCATACAGGGTGGTCAAAAACGCGAATTGTACTTTTTCTCAAAAATTTCAAATGTAGCAACCTGTATATTTGTGCAAATTTGGATTCAATTTTTTATAAGCTTTTTTTTTGGTATAAGGTTTGATTCAGATAAAATCACAAGATTTTGAGTAATTAAGCTTTTAAAAGAAAAACACACCAAATTAAGGAAAAAATCACATCATCCATGGAAACAAAAGACAAACAGTGGGCTAGTTCCATATTGCCACTGAGTACAGACTTGACGTAAAAACTAATAACAATCAAAACAGTATAAAATATTTAAAAAAAATGTTTGTTAAATAGTTGTAGTGACAGATTTTTTAATATTTAATAAATATATTTCTTATATATTTATAAAATATTCATTATATATATACATATATATATATATTTGTAGTATATATAAATCATATATTTTTGCGATATTTTTTCTAAATATTTAGAAAATATATGAGGAAAGATTTTTAAATATCAATTTTATAATTTGATGAAATATCTAATAGTTTTCGTAAATATATATGGATTTTCAAGCATTAATCTGATACATATCTTCAGTGTATATAGAAAATTCTTCCATTGGTTATTTTAGCAAAACCTGTAGGAATGCTTATGTAAAATTGGGTTTATAGAGAAAATTCTTTCTAGGTATAATGATTTAATTTGCTAGAAATATATTATTAAAATAACATTCTAAGCCTCTTCCGCATCTTGCAAGTCCACTCCTCTGAAAGAAAAACTTACTAATTATGAAGTATTATTGAATACATAAGCTAATTTCCAGTGTATTTATGGGAATATTAAATGCAGTGGAAAAATATTGGTGCTGAGTATGGTGAGTTATTCCGAGTAGCTCAACTGGGTCACTGGAAAGCAGCTCTACGACGAGTATAATGCACCTAAAAGGACCCCACACTTTCTGCCTATGATAGTTCGAGAGTTGGTTAATTTTTAAGAAAATTTGGTATGTTATTTTAGATATGTGATGAAAAATGTCCATGGGCACAACTTGATCCTTTGACTAACTTTTAAAGAAAAGGTTTTTGAAAATTGACCGCTGAATGATTTTGATTTAATAATAACAATAATATCCAACGAAGACCATATACAAAAAATTATAAATACACATAAATATATAACAAAACAATATAATTCCTCGTCATCAAGGACATCCTCATGACAGAAAGATGCACCTAGATGGTTCAAACCACCTGTATGTGCTTTCATAATCCGGACTTACAAATGAGAAGAAAATGCTATTTATTGGATTATAAAATACAATAAAAAAAACAATAATGAACCTCAATATTCCGAACAATAGTTCAATCATACTACGATACAAAAAATCATTAGAAAAACCTTTCAAATTGTGCAGTATTCTCAAAAATATATTCTCTTCAGCTGGTGCTAAATGTTTTAATATTTTTCAACTTTTTCAAGTGTTCTGGCAGAATGTTATATATCTTTGGTCCTATATACGTTATGTATCTTAAGTTTAGGTTATTGTTATTCTTGGGAATTTCTATTTGCCTGCCCACATTTGCACGAGTACAGTATTTATGACTTACTTGTTTCTGTAGTTTTTCATTTCTATAAATAAAAGTAGATACTGTCATCACGTACAAGGATCTAATATTACACACATCCTTTGTAAAAAGTTTATTAGTGGGGAATCTTTAATCTTTCTTAAAACTAATTTTAATAATATATTTCTGAATAATAATGAGTTTACGTAGAGCATTATTGTACAATCCCCCCCATACTAATATCCCATATCTAATTATAGATTCAACAAATGCTTTATAAACTGTTA